ACAAAATGGACGCCAGTTGAGAGGGTCGATCTCTGCTTTTTCTCTGGAGCTGTTCCAAAGCCGAAAATACAGCGAGACATGATGGTCTGAGCTTGGTTTACAGGTGGAGACTGCTTCCCTCTCTGGCAACACTCGCAAGCTTTTCCAACGCAATCCGTCCACAGGCCTCATGATACCTGGTGTTAGTGAGCGCAGTTGTGAGGTGTATGAGTCTACGTTGGCTGATGACTGACACAGTTCATCATTCCGTACTGTGAGTGAACGCTTGATGGTGGCAACCGTGCTATCGGCTAAAGTACGCAGTCGGCGTACGCAGTCGGCGTACGCAGTCTGTAAGACGGATCGCAAAGTACATCTAGTTGAAGCATTCAGTGATCAGCATGACAATTTCGAAGGCCTCTGGTGCCGTGTTCATGTACGCTTCAGAGCACAGTTGTTCGGTGTCTTCTTCTTCCTCTTCTTTCAACTTAACACTGAGAGTTGGACACGAGGCCACCGCATGAAACTGTATAAACCGAGGAATCTCCGTTTGCGGCTGCATTTGGCCTTATCAACTCGCGTGGTGAATAATTAGACCATCACATCATCATCATACACGTTAGCTAGAGGTGGAGAACACCTCAGGTAGTGTGCCGCAATACATGGAAAATGGAGAAAAGAAGCAAGTGGTGCAAGCTGGCTGATCTACCGGTAACGGATGGGCATCTTTCCGGTAAGCTACTAGCAGGCTGCTGTGCACCCACAAAGAATCACTATGCAAAGTTATTTAAGGCTAAATAATGAGGGATATGCGTGCAATAACGGTGCTGAGCGGTTCAGTTCCTTTTCCTTTACCATAAACAAGGCTGCCTCTAAGGCAGCTAGAGTGGTCCTTTGCGGAAAGAGCAAACCGCGCTGTCCGCTTCCTTTTCAGCAGTGCCTCTCTTTGTACCCCATGTGTATGTGCGGTGGCGCGCTGATGTCCTTCTTTTAAGCGTCATAAATGTCAACTCCCGTGAACTTATGCTGCCTTCCACCACCTCAACCGCACGGGTTAGCAAAGGCGACTTCCGCCTGCGACGCCTGCGGTCGGCGCAAGGAGACTGGGAAACACCAGCCACCGGGGACACCAATGTGATCCCTTCGCTGACGTCCCTCTCCGGTGAATTCATGCTGTTACGCGTACCATTGCCTGCCGTCACGTGGGTAGCTGCAGCGGAGGATGACGGCTGCATTCCCTGGAAAGTAGGCAGGTTTTCCGAGGATAACGGTTGCAGTTGCTGCAACTGCGATGACCGCGCGTAAAGCTGAACATCACTGTGACTTGTGAGCAGCTCCCGCACGCATGCGAACACGCCCATGGTGCGCTGGAACTCCTCCGTGCCCATGCTCAGAATCTGCGTTTCCAGAGCCGCAAACATATCCCGAGTGATGCGAAGTTTCGCCGCCCGATCAAGAACTACATCACTGGGGCATCTCACCGGCGCCACCGTCAACGTCCCTTACTTATCCTCGCAAAGCATCGGCGCAGATGTACTTATCGATGGCAATACCCAACGGCAACCACCAAGCACATCCTCCTCCTGGTACGCGTGCACGCTCGCAACGTGAATTATGTGCGCACATGGAATGCGCCACTGCCGATTAAATCTGCATCCACAAGCGCAGCCATTTCCGATGACAACACGTTGCATACCAATGCGCTCGTCCTCCACCAGCCAACAACCACCGCCTTCGTTGACGCTGCGAATACGAACCCGAACACTGTGCCGCGCGTACTGCCGCCGGGCGTAGGACGAGAGCCTGCGCAAAATAACGTCCCCAACGCTGGCTCCGTGCTGAACGTCGCATTCTCCAAGTTGATCTCTGGCCAGCAGTGTTTCCCTCTCCTCAATCATGCTACTTGCACGCTGCACTATCACCTGAAACAGGTGAAGTAGCGTTGACCGTTCACTCAAAGTTTGTTTCAGATGCTTGTTCTCATTTTCAATGCGATTGGTGCTGTCGCATCCAAATAAAACTACATGGCCCATCAGATGCGCCGCCCAGCTAAGCCGCCATGGAATCCATGTACGACGCAGGTATTGGAAGCATTCTGCGCTCCGCAGAGATATCGCTTCCATAATCCGATGGTAATGAGCGCAGTCGTACGTGTACAACAATGACCGCAGCATGCTGAATAGAGCTCTCTTATCTTCAGCGTTACACAGCGGAAGGTGTGAGCAACGCCGCCGCATGTCACGCATAATGTGTACCCGGCAGAAAACAATGTTCGCATTTGGGTACGCATTACGGAACGCATTCACTTGCGCCGCGCACTTGTCCATCACCAACGTCCGAGCACCGGCAACCGAGGAGGCCAATTCCAACATACCTCTCACTGCCTCCTCCGAAGCTACCTCCGTCTCATTAGGCAACAGGGCATAAAAGAAGCTCATACCGAGGCCGCTGACGTCCACAAACATGCAATGCCACAGGATGTAGCCTCCGTAATTGAGCTGATACGTGGAGTCCGCCAAAATTACCTCGCCGTATTGGCCCACCAATTCAAGCATGCGCGAGGGTACGAAAAATAGGTGACGAATCTGATTACCCGCATGCAGAATTTTCACCTCACCATTTCTTTGCAACAGTTGAGTCACCTCCTCCACCTCAGTGACACAGGCCTTACGATGACGCCGCCGCATGACATACAAATCCCTCCTTGTTAAACGAATGTCATACTGCTGCCGCACAAAGGCCCGCATCTCCTGGGTCCGACGAAACGTTCTCATTAAGTTAAGCGCCAGCCTCTCCTGCTCTTCTGATAGCCTCGGATTACACGCATGCAGCCAAGGCTTCCCAACTTGGAAGCTGTGCGAATGCCACAGATACGCATTCCCAATTTCGTAACATTCGCCCTTATACGTCAAAGAAAAACGCGCAGGGCAATCGTAACATCGGTACCTATAGTAATCTTATCATGAGGCAATTGCAATGCACTTACCGCTTTCCAGTGACATTACTGCGCCTCCCATACACACATACAAACAGAATATATCGGTATGGGCATCCTTCCGGTAGCACCTGTCCAGTCTCCCTTTCGTACGCCTTCGCAGATTGCACGTTCCGACGAACAAAGGATGTCGCCGTTTTAATCTGAAACTCTTTCAGATCCTTCTCCACCGATGCGAAGTCCAGATAAGGACCCTTCAACATACGTCGGAATGCAAGCGAGTCATCCACCATGGCTGCTACGCGTGAGGCGGGAAAATGATTAACCATCGTAACGCATTTAAACCAATTAGTAACTTGATTACCAACTGAGGTCGTAGGATTTCAGCAAGCGTACTCAATCATTAATAAACAACACTATGAGTTCAATGTCGCCAAATCTACATCACATCACCTGTATCAACGACTTACCATCCACTCTTCAGACGGATTGCCTAATCTACGCTGACGACCTAAAGCTATGGATGGAAGTATCAAGCCTTGAAGACGCCGACCGATTACAAACTACGCTCAATCTACTCCATGACTGGTCGATTAAGTGGCAGTTGCCAGTAAATCGTGATAAATGCTCTGTTCTCCTCGTTGTCTCATCAAACCCATTTGGAACTTACCATATTGGTGGTTTCTTGCTCATAAGCGCAACCCAAGAGAGGGATCTTGGAGTGATAGTGTCATCAGACTTCAAATCTATCCAAGACACCCAGAAGAGGGTCGCCGCGGCCTACAGGATGTTCCATTCTATACGTAGAGGCTTTTCTCTCCTGACCCCGGGACTTTTCCGAATCCTCTTTGGCTGGCATGTACGCCCAATTCTCGAATACGGACTACCCGCTGCCTACCCTCTCACCAAATCCGAATGTGATATGATAGAGAAGGTTCAACGGCGTGGATCCAAATCCGTCCCTGAGTTGCGAGACCTGTCGTATCCACACCGACTTCAACGACTGAACTAGTTCTCTCTAGGCTACCGCCGTCACCGAGGAGATTTGATTTTTACTCGACGTATTCTCAGAGGAGAACTGGGTTGCGAGTTACAGGACTTCTTTCAACTCAACCCTGAGAGTTCGACACGAGGCCACCGCATGAAACTGTTCAAACCGAGGAATCTCCGTGTGCGGCTCAATTTGGCCTTATCAACTCGCGTGGTGAATGATTGGAACCGGTTGCCGGATCCTGTTGTTGATGCTGAGACAGAGGAACGTTTCAAACAAATGTTAGATTCTCACCTGAGCGCGCTGGGTTTCTGCTGCCTCTAAGGCAGCTACAGTGGTCCTCTGCGGAAACTTCTACCGCAATGAACCACGCCATCTCCGCAATGATTGGGAAGTGAAGGAGCTGACAAAGGATCTTCCTTCTGCTTTCTATCATCCAATGATCCAATGATCCAATGAACACTGCCGAAGGAGCGTTATTTCCAAGTGGCGGATAGGACGCTCTCCAGATGCAGCGATAAGATGAGACTCTACCTTAAGGTCTACAAATGCCATGGTTTCAAAATGACGCAAAAAATAGGCTACCGTATGCAAAAATAAACCGGAAAATATGAAAAATAAATGGAACGAGCTTACCGGAGAAAAGTTCGGAACAACCTGATGAGTCACGTGACTCATCACGTGCGTGAGGAAGTTCACTCCCATCAAGCACATAACTTGTGGAGGAAGCAGACGTTCCGATACGCAGCACTGAACACTGCTCGGTTTGTGAGCAGCACCCACAAGACAGACCGTTCTCAGAGTATATCCAGAGCCAGTTGAAGAGCCACAGGACCTCCAGGGATGTCAACAATATTCCAGAGCTTTAGGTCATCAGCAAATAAGAGCGATGGCTTGCTTTGGTTGGCCTTGGATTTTGTCCAACTGTTGTTCGAGAGAGATTACACCAGACTGTGAAGTTAAAAGGCTCATTTATATTTTCCCCACAGATCGGTGGTAGATGATAAATTCGTGAGTAAATGGGCTGGAAACTAACCGTTAAAGCCCGATGGGGGCAAAAACAGCGTTTCGTGTGATTAAGAATTTACATTGTTGTTATCCAGTTGATCGGTTGATGTGGTGTAGCCAAAACATGGACGCCATTGTCTAAGGTAAGAAACGAAATACAGAGAGAACAAAGTGTATCATTCCGAAAACGATCGTAAGTTGGCCTACTTAATTACCAATGCAGAAATTGAATATCGTGAGTTTGGTGGGTTTCAATGGTGAGCATAGATGCGGAGAAATATTATCACGTAAAAGAGGACAGTGGGAGTGTTCAGCATACATTACCCATGAATTGGGGCATCTTCGAAAGGCTATTGGGAGGATTCATGCCCAGCACGCCGACACTGGGCACAATGGGCATAGGGCGTCGATCGATTATTTGCGCCGTTTTGCACACACAACTATAGAGGGAGTGTATCCCTTGGGTGATGCTGCTCAGAAGACTTGTCAAACAGACATCGTTCGCCTGGCGGTACAGATGGTCGCTCATCTCTGTGATTCCTCCAAAAGCATCAGTCGTCAAATTGGCTGAACGGGAAGACAACAACGGGAGGCGCTTGATCAAGGCACTTATCTCCCTCAAACGAGCTCGATTGATAGGCAATTCGCCGTCTGATACGGCGGAGACGTATGCACGAATAAGATGCAGTCGAGTGTATAGCATCTGTGTTGCTTGATAGTTTCCAAGGAGATGTTCGGCAGTCTTGGGAAAAGAATATGAGAAACGATCCCTTCGTTACATTTAGTAGGCAAAACTGCATCAAGAATTCATATGAATTGGGTCTTACCAAAACAGCACCAGAGGAGATGAAAATGGTAAAAATCAGAATAGTTCCCACTCAAAATTGACAAAGTTAGAATGTTGGAGCGAGTGTTCTCTGAAAGTACAAATATAGTGGGCTTGGTGTGGTCTAGAAGATGGTGTCCATGCAAGCAAAACAATATTACGTGAAAAAACGAAACTATTTGCAATAAACAGGCCAACATACCAGCACACATGTGTTCCGACACGAAATATTGCAGTACAGCATCAGTCTAGCATGATACCCCCCTTGTGATGAAATACAATTAGGGCTTGCTCATAATGACTATAATTAGTACTACCATGCGTTGTATGGAAAAAGCGAATTCGGAGTGGCGACTGCCAGTTATCTCGCAATTATAATATGGGCCCGGGACCATCCACTGAGATGCTGGGCTCATCAATAAACAATTGGTAGGCATAACAAATCAGTGGTGAATCGTTTTTGAAACGCTCGAATAATTGAGTCAGCAGTTTTAATTTTTTACTTTACAATATGTTGAAACACGATCTGGTACGCGAGCGACCCACAGGTATACAAACAGGCATACATGAATATTTTATTAAAGCTTGCATTCCGGAGAGTGAGTTTGTTTATGGTGCTACCTACCGATGTGCCATGGAACCGTCTTTCAACTCTGAAATCGCTATTTCGCGCCTCGTTGTGTTGTGTAAAAGTATGCGCAAAAATATTAACAGAATTCAAGACCACGAGTAGGATTAGGGTTTGTTATCGATTATCGTTTCGCCGTTTACCCGAAGCTGCGCAAACAAATAGTCGATACCACCCGACCCGGTCGCTCCATAGGGATGCAGTGCCAGATGATCGATTGAAGAGTTTGTAGTACGCGGATGATATACGCACTTGAGAGCTGACCTAATCCCTATGCTTCAGCAAGTACCTAAAACCAATTAAATTAAAAATACCCCTGCGGGACTCCTGAGTTTCGTACCACCACCGAGGAGTTAATCGATAGATAGACCTAGATGAGCAGTTGCACAACTATTATGATGCGAACTTCAACCCACTTAGAACGGAACCAAAAAAACACCATGTGAGGACGAGCTGTCTTAAAAACTGACATGTGTGAGCAAAGTACAACAAAAATCCATAGGTTAATCAATCAATCACTTGTAGGAACACCGGCAATGGCTAGCGAAAATGGTCAGCTGCGAACGACTACCATGCCTGAGTTTTTCTAAGACCTCCCTCCTCTTAACCAGAACTAAATGCACGTTACATCTGATCCGTATACCTTAAATCGTGGGGTAACGAGTTTCTACATTGGGGTTCTGATTCGCGTTGAGTATCTCCGAATACGGCGGGTGCGTGCTACTGACGAGTCCCGATAGGACGAAACGGCTGTCTAGCGCTGTCCTGGATGTGTGGTGGCTGTCTGTCTGTGTCTAACTGCGACGAATCTATACAAAAACCTAATAAATCCCCTACTACTCACAAATATCTTCGATTAGTTATTACGCTTTCTGTTTCGATGGCAAGCTTTTCAAAGGGGGTAAGATCTCTAACGGTAATGAAGATTCCTGTTTTCGGAGCGGCCCTTACACTTCAAAACGGGATCTAATATGGTTTACATGTCTAGTCCATATAGAGGAATCCACTCGTATTCAGTACAAAACGCTTGAAATCCGTTCAACAACTCGGCCAGAAAACCAAGTTGATCTTCCGTCACGAAACTTCTTTATGTACACGCTATCACTAGGAATGAAATGATTGGGGCGTGCTCCATAATGGTAACTAAAAGCTAGCTCCAATGGAACATTACATTCCCCAATGTGTAGCGATGATTGCAAAGCGGTAAGGACAGTTCAGACACACCTACCGAGAAAGGTGAGCAGAAAGAAGCGCACAGTAAAAAAGCGCACACAAAAGATTGCGCACGTTGAAGGCTGCGCACACTAAAAGTAAACACATTTTGGCAAGCTGATAACATGGTCACATATGACCATATTAATCATGTGCTTTAAGTAATACTCACATTGAGAATTCATGTCGCAAAAACATCTTTCGGTAGTGACCACGAGACAATAGGGCTTATCTTCGGTACTGAAATATATGTCACACGATAGCAGCACATACAAGGCTGCATCCGGGGGGAATAAGTAGACACATCTCCAACATTGGGTCGAATCGTCAGATTGAGTTGTAGTTTTCTTCTTCCCAAACGCCTGCTTAGCAGGTTTTAACAATTCCAACCATCACGGTATAACCCATCTTACCAAACAAGGTAAACGTGTTACCAATGGCAAACGTTAAGTCATATTGACGGTGCAAAAGTTATCAACAAGATTCCACAAATTGTACACCTCACAATAATATTACAACCGAACGGATGGACAACTATGAACACGCATGCATGTGTAAACCAGTGTGAATCATGACTCGCAGCGTCCGTTCTCGGTTCTACTTGTTACTGTGTCCTGTATGTGGACAGCCACAGAATACATGCGCCTAAGGGGAGATGGACTAGGATTACCTTGCGCTGCACCACCCATAGCTCCATCCACGCACACCATATCCGATGTAAGCCCATAGGAATAAGACCGGGAGGCAAATAAATGGTAGTCAGGATTCATTAAGTCAGTACACACTTTTTCAATATGCACAGCATTCCTGTCGAAGTTGCGAATCAACCGCATGCTAGATGCAACCACTCATTGATCCTAGCACAGGCTATATACCTGCAATATAGTGTGATTAATAAACCACACGCAACAGACTGAGCACTGCTCACAAACTTCGTTTGTCGAAGCCGCAACGGAATTGCGAGTGATACCCACTCCATGTAAGCAGATGGGCTTTGCCGCTAGTGTCGCCTAGCCAGGATGAGGTTGATGATCGCGCCCGCAGATCAGCACCTACTGGCCTTTGATCGCCAGTGTTTGGCCAATAATGCTGCACTGTGAGGTGTGTGCAACCGATCGAATACACCAATTTTATGTGAACGATTAACACGAGTACGGGACTTGTTGCACTGTTACCCAAGGAGTCAGAAGGGCAAACTAATTGATATTGAATGTTGATGTTTGAATATATCGCTTACCGCAATATTGATGAAGTGGCAACTTGGAGACGCAGGCAAACCAAGGTGTGAAGCGGTACTTACTGATGAAGACACGAGTCGGCATCATCTTGCAACAGCCGACTGCGCCCTCTCCTGGCCCATATCCTCAAAAAAACGGGAGCCAAATGAAACTGGATGTAAGGGCGATACCTCGCAATGTTACGGAAAATGTGTTGTCTGCACTGAGTAGTGAAGCTTTGGCCCATATGCCCAAACAACCATACATTGCAAGAACTCTTCTGAGTCACCGTAAAGCAGTCATTTACCTTGTCTAACAGGCACAAATTTTGCTATTCTTGAGCAGTACTCCGAGCTAATTCTACATGATACAGGTGCGCATGTTCCAGAAAGGATTCTCGTGTTAGGTGACAAGGAACTTATACTTGCATTGTGCACAGATACAATACGTGGGGGACAGCAATTTTGATAAAATTTCCAATGTTTTATCAGCTGTATACGTGGCACGGCAAGGTGGGCAACAGTTATCCCCCTCGTTACCGAAAAAAGATACGCAGACCCATATGAGAATGTTTGAAATACTGAAACTAATGTTAACAAATTTGATGCCAAAAATGTCAGTCGATTTTGAGATTCGCATATCCCGAAGCAGAAATTAGAGGAAAATATTTCCACCTGTGCCAAAGCGTCATCAGAAAAGTTTGTAATGTCGACCTAGAGTGTTTTTGAAACGGATGTCAATATAAAAATATAGCTGAAGTGGTTGACTGCACTTTTTTTCGTCCCAGTTGCTGAAGTGAGTTTGATGAGCTTGTCAGCGCATTTCTAAATGAAGAATCATTTAATGCGGTGCTCACTTATTTTTTCTCTACTTACATTGAAAGGGTAGCAGGCCGAGAACCGAAGTTCCCACTGCAAATGTTGCACCATCACGAGGTCACCCTTAAGGGGCCACCAAAAACCAGCAACTGCTGCGAAGAATTTCAAACTGCCTTGAACGAGTTTTCCGCTGTAGTCATCCAAACGTATAGCATTTGTTCGATGGACTACAGAGGGACTTGGCCTGCTAGACGTACACTAGCCAAAGCGCGTGCAGGTCGATTTGTGGTGAGAAAGTGAAGAGATGATGCGTTGCAAACTGCCGTTGGTTTGAGATTATGAATCAACAGAAGATCGGCTTAAATACTTGAAATAGTGGCCTTTGTTGTTCCTGCCGGTGTTGAACCTAGCAGTAAGATATTTGCGCTCAAGGGCAAACTGTACTCGTACGAGCAAATTCTGTACCCCTATATTCCAAGCTACGTGTGCATACATTTTCGTCTCTTACAATATTAAATATTTGTTTACAAGTGATTAACCAGTTCCCGCATAGCGTAAGTGGGCATTTTTCCAAATGAGCATTTCAACGATAAAAACGCAGTCCTGTGAAACGCGTTAATGAATAGGCACGCATACGTTCTACGTATATGAGAGGTAACCGCTTTCAAACGGCATTGGTGATTAGTGCGTACTAGGGTTGGAATGGCTGAGTGAAGAACGGTATGTAGGACGGGTATGTCAGTGTAAAGTCGGGTGTCAGATCACCGCAAAACTCAAAGCAAAACCGGTAGTGAAATCTCTACGGTATCTTAGTAGCCTCATGTAATTCGATTCGTAATGTCGAGTGGAAAGCAACACAGATTTCTCATGCGACAATGCCGGCAAAGTGATACCAGTGAAGCATCCGGTTTAAGATGTATTAACCGTGAGACGTCATTAACAAGAACCGTGATTTTATGGAGTGGGATTGTAATTTATCTAGAAATCGTCTTAAGGTTATCCACAAGCCACATCCAAGTAAAAGGGAGCTGATTGAAGAGGCTCCATTCTATGTTTAAACCCACGCCATTGGAGTACCGAATGAAGCTATAAGAGAAACAATACAAAAATGGGCGCATACAGTTACATAGACGTCGAATGGGTCAGGGAGAGTCGCTTGTCAAAGTTAGGAAAGCGAGAAGCGCATGCAACACACGGGAAAGACAAAGCGCTTTAAGGTACCTACTATGGATGAAGGCTGGTCTGAACCGGCCATAGAGATCCGAGCGACGTAGTCAACTCCAATTCGCTCCACTTCATCAGTGGCTAAAGCATAAACCACCTGAAAAAGAAAAGTTTAAAAAATACTAGATGAGTTAAGATCCAAGTTATCAAGTGCATCCGCCCTTCTTCATCAGCTCAAGTCCAACTTCCTTCAATAACTAAGATGTTCGAAATAAACTCAAAATACTTATCAAACAAAGCTAGTGATAAGGATTTTCTCTCATTAGTAATTCTGAAGGAGCATGCTGATTCTCCCGTACCACTTTTGACGGATATCATCCTGGATATTTGAAGACCTGCCAAAATAACTCGATCGTCCGAAAATGGGTAAGTGGCACCAGAATGCGTGCACATATGTTGAAAGTATTTGAAAAATTGCATACTCCTGGGAGTTTCACAACCAGCACTACTGACCATATCTATTAGTTCACTTAAAGACAATAGGACACAACCTTGGATGCAGTAGCATAGCTAGTTTATTCTGTTGCGATTGCACTGGATCAAACATATAAATCTGCACGATTTCTTATCTTTGATCATTAAAATGTCTTCGGGATTCTAAATACCGTGGTGTTATTCAAGCCACTTTATGGGAACATAGTTATATATATATATATATATATATAATATATATATATATATATATATATATATATATATATATATATACAGTCGATTCCGGTTAATAGGACCACCGGTTAATAGGACCAGCGCTTCGGGCCAAATTCTGAAGAACCGAAACGAATCCTATTACGCTAGCCTAATTTTAGCCGCTTATTAGGACCGGAATTCCGCTTAATCGGACCAGACGATAGAAGGTGGCAAGTAACAGAGGTGTTAAAATCAAGTTCTGTGCCTGGATGTCTGGACTAAACCCCCAGTTCAAATGTCGGGCAAGAAAGCGTATCATTCAGTTACGGTAATCCGAGTTGGCCTTTGGATAAACTGAACTGTGGCAACCTTGAGGCACATCTATCTAATTGGCTTCAGAACCGCCCGAAACTGACTGTAGTTTCCAACACTTGTAGGCGGAGCGAAGACATACATGCTTGTTCACATGTCGTTAACCGCTCGATCGGTGTACCGCACGACCATTGAGCCGAATGCCCTGAGCCCGCATTGCGGGCCTACTCTCGAGCACGGCAAGTGATGGCGGACACACAGGTCCGGCAACTCATAGGACAGCAGGTGGCTAGGTCGACCATAGAAACACCCAGGAGACAGACTCGAGTTCACCTCAGTGAACCGTGCGTGTCTTGTTGCATGTTAGGAAAATGCCACGACGGGACTTGACGTTAGCTGAGAAGATTCGTTTCCTAGATCAGATCAAGGAACAGGGACCAACCACTAGTCAGCGTCGACTGGTGGAAATTACCTGCTTGGCAAAATCTACAATATAGCGCCTGATAAAACAAGAGAAAGATCTGCGAGAAGAATGGGCACAATGTGAAGGGCGACGAGGTACTTCCCAAAAACGGAAGCGTGAAGGCAAGGATCCAGACGCCGATGAGGCCCTTAATGGTTGGTTTGCCTTTGTTACTGGACGAGCTGTGCGAGTAATTGGCCCAATGTTAAAGTACAGAGCAGAACTCGATAAAATGCAGGGCCACGAAGATTTTATAGCTATGGACGGCTGTTTGTCTCGATGGAAATCTAGACATGATGTAAAATTTAAGAAAGCATATGGTGAGAAAGAAAGTGCCAATAGCGCTCGAGCTGAAGAATGGAAATCAACAAAACTACCAGAGCTTATTGAAAAATTTCCAGCAGATGACATCTATGATGCTGATGAAACCGGGTTTACTATAGGACTACACCGGACGGCTCCTAAAGTTACAAACATGTTACTCTCTCTGGCTGCAAAAAAGCAATAGATCGCGTAACTGTCTTGTGCTGCTCAAACATGTCCGGAACAGACAAGAGGAAGTTGCTGGTTATAGGAAAATGTACCAAGCCTCGCTGCTTTAAGGGACTCAGAATGGACAGTTTACCAGTTGTGTATCGTGCGAACAGAAATGCATGGATGAGCTCTACACTTTTTAAAGAATGGGTGAAGGATTGGGACACAGAGCTACAACGCCAGTCGAGAAAAGTGTTATTACTTCTCGACAATTGTGCAGCACATTCAAATTTGGATTTCTTGAAGAATATCCAGATGGAATTTCTGCCTCCCAAAACCACATCTTTGATACAGGCAATGGACATGGGCATCATAAAAAATCTGAACCTTATGGTCAAGGGAATTGAGGAAGTTGTGACCTCATCCTCGACGGCCGGAGAAATCAGTGCAAAGGTCAACATTTTGCACTTACATTCGTGGCCAAAAGTTGGCGAAAAATAAGCAGTGCGACAATTCGGAACTGTTTTTCTCACTGTGGCTTTAAGCATATTGTCTCCGAGATGGATGTGGATATGGTGATTGTAAATGAAAATGGCGGCGAGAATGTGGAGCTGAAACAAACTGAAAATTACGAAGAATTTTGTCAATCGACAACGAACTTTAACTCTATGATGGAAATGAAGAATGCGATGCTGCCGTTGTTGCTAGAATAGCAGCCAAACACACGACACCAACAGAAGACCATGGAAGTGATGAAGAGAACCCTAACGTGTTGATGCCAGTCACAAAACAGGATGCATGGAAATGCGTTGAAACATTGCACCGCTATTTCATGCAGCAAGGAAATGAAGGTAGTCCTATTACTGCGTTACATGTTTGTGGTGATTTTGTGCGAATGCAGTCTGTTAAAAGAATGCGTCAAACCACACTGGATACGGTCTTCAAACGCTGAATGGAATTCGGTAATCCCTTTGTATTACACTGTACTTCGCATGCTGAATATCTTGTAGGTCGTTACGAAGAATTTGTTTGTAAATTTCTTTTTCAGTGAACAAAGTTCGTTATCAAAGCAGTTCTTCTTTGTGTGTTTGCTATAAATATATGTCTCCAATACAGGTCATAATAGTAGTTTCTGATGTTATGTATAGCACGTCCTATCTTGTTACATAGGGTAACTTCGGTTAATCGGACCAGCCGCTTAATAGGACCAAAATGGTCTGGTCCCGATGTGGTCCGATTAACCGGAATCGACTATATATATATATATATATCGAAAGTGTGAGAAACTGTTTCTAAATTGGGAACAGAGCAGTATGCACAGAAATGTTCACGTTTTGCATGAGTGCATGTTAGTGCCAATTCTTGGCCTTTCAGATATTTCTTCGACCATCTTGGAATAGTTCATCACGTGAGTTGTCACAGGATAACATGGATGATAGCACTACTAAATCAAAGAATCTGTCGAGTTTCGTGTGGGATGAAGTGGGGTTTGCACATGTCCTGATTGCGGTTGGTAAGCTGTTTCCCAAGACGGCGTATTTGATGAAGAAAAATTGGGACCGCATTGATGTCCTAGCCCTTGGAATCCGTAGTGTAAATTTTTGTTACGGAGTCTGTGATGGTTATGATGCTTTATCTACGTTTTCTGGTGCAACAAGTTGTGTAGGAGCATCAAGTTTTGCTTTAGATATCGCAGCCAGAGAGTCTCGATGTGAAGCTGTTTGAAACGTTCGCGATAGTTTAGACTGGGTGTGCTATTGAAGAAACGTTTGGTGAATGACCTCTGTAGATTTGCTATAAATTTCCTATCTATTTTACATGTCATACTCACTTTACGCAATTAAACAGTGAGAAATCACTTAGTCTCCGCGCCTACTGTGGTGTTCTGCACTGAACGAGCCTATCATATTTTCTATTTCCTTAAGTGTCGTACGCAACCCTACCCAACCCACGTTTATTGGGTGCACATATCCTGACGACGTTGTGTATGGGCTCCACCATTCTGGTTTCCTCATTGCTGCAATGTGGATATGGAAATTTAATAGTGATATTTGTGGTGACGAGTATGATGGTGTCGAATCAAACGGGCAACCTGAAAGAAATTGGGATGACATGCTGAAAGCTAATCAATCACCGCCGAAACAAGGATAATTGATCTGGACTGACGTGAACACAGCTCAGGCACAGGCTGAGAAAGTAATAAGCAGTGGAAATGCGTCGCATAATAAGCGAATAAGATTTATTAGAGAAACATAATGATCCCTTTATTTACGACTAACCAATTTTGATGAAGGCCCTGACGTTGGTTTTGGTTCTCTGACGGCTACTATGACAGTCTACATCCAGAACCATTATCCTTGAGGCCTCCAAATGAAGTAATGTACTATTTTATTTTACGCAATAAGATGCGGTCTTATATTTAACCCATTCTGATTGTTCTGATACTTAAGGTACACTCAGGATCCACTAGTCTAATACTTAAACTTGTGATTTTATGCATCATCCTTCAATGACCACCCTATTCCCTTGCCATCTTCCCCAGAATGCCTCAGAAAGTCCGCATCATACTGGTACGACCGATAAGGACAGTCTATAGTTAGTTGCTGGGCGTACTGACGCCCGTAACAATGTTCTTTCCAAGGTCGTAAATGAGATTTCATCCAATGCACAGTGACTTATTAAAAAAGTTATCTATTTCTTCTACGCGATTCAAACCTAGTTTTCTCTTCGAGCACATCATCGTACCGTAGTACTGTCTACTTTACCTGCCACATTTGCACGTCGCGTGAGTAATTGTGTGTGACAGTTATGTATATGTTTCAGTTCTCTTTCCGTTCATATACTTTTGAGATTACCTTCCAGTACATCCGCAGCGGATGTGTAAATGCTGATAATGAACTCGTTCGGGTTCATAAAGCTTGTTTTGATTTGATTTGACCATGACATCGCAACTTTTCCAGTTAAGAAACAGTGATATCCGAACAGCTTCCGTTAACCATGCTGCTACGATACGACGAAAGTGAGATGATAAAAGAAGAAAAACAAATATTACAGCACAACTAGAAATGAGATGGGATAAAATGTTAAGATAACAAGGCTGGTGGCAGAGAGAACGCTTAAGTGACAGCACTTGCAGTGATAAAACAGATGATGCAATCGAGTCCTAACACTGAACTTATAAACACCGCAGGTAGCAATCTGTTTTTTGGTCAATTCAAGCCTTACAACATCTTACCAGGTGGATAAGCGGAATCTTGTCCGACAGATATAACAGCGGTAAAAAGGTATGCAACGGCAGGCAGCTAGTAGACATAAAAAGTGTGGCCGGTCCCATTTCAGTGGGTGACACAGCATTGTATCACAGGATCAGTTACCCACCATCGTAGACTGGCGGAAATCAGTGGGACTAAGTTGGTGGTATAGGCAAGCATGGGCGATGGGTTGCAGACATAATCATCAACATCATCATATAGAGGGCGGATAGCGTCCGTCGGTTTGACTTTTCGAACGCCGCTACCAATCAGTTCACTGCGTGTTACTCTGTGCACAGACGTAGTTTAGTGTCGTCTTTTATCAAATCCAGTCTATTCTGACTTTGAATGTGTGTAGCGTGTGCACATGCCTAGTGTGCATTTTGTGGTGCAATTTTCCAAATGTTGCTATATCGGTCGATAAATTCATCATTTAGTCAGTATGGTTGCTCGCTCTTTGTAATGACGAAGCAAACTGCTTGTGATAATTGTTGCAAAACTGTCGGACGTAGAGAAAAGGCTGTTGCCTGCTTTAGTTGTCGTGTGAACTTTCATGTTTCGCGTATTAGTCTGCCCATTGACCAATTTAAACTTCTCGTTGGATTCAGTACGATTTGGTTCAAGTACACTGTAAGAAGTACCAGAGTAAAATGCAGCCGGAAAAAATTCCATAAATCTCGGGAGTTAGATGTTCCATGGTGAGGAGTTCAGTGTGTTCATCACAACAAGTGGACATGCAGACACTCGAACAATACCATTTCCATCTGTGACTTCAAGGTCCCCGGAACGATATCCATCCGTTACTGGAAACAGCAAGGGTGATAGCGTTGCGAGCTGGCGTGCGATAGCATAAGTGATGGCCGGTGGAAAACTCAGAGGAAAGTGAAGTGCCTGCGACCAGACGTGTTGTAGGCTCATGATATTACTTGCGCTTGAGTCAACTGATGCAAATCCTCGGGCAAATGACCACGACGTTAAGTTTTGCAGAGCTTGATTGACAGAGTCCTCGATGTGGTTGAACAGGGGGCTGAAAGTTAAACAAAGTACCCGTTTCGGAAGCAAACATGAAAAAACCTGGCCTATGCGAATAGCTTTGTTGATGAAGCTTGTCAGAGGTTGATAGTTTCGCGCCTAGGTAAGCTTAATCGCCCAGATATAGATCTGTTAGACCGGGAAAAGCTCGCCCTCAATCATTTGGCTAACGCTGCGTACTGATGATGGGAAAACCAATGTACACATTGTAATTTTTAGGGTACTTCCCCGGGTTTACCGTATCCGGATCAACAAATCGAGGACGCTTCATGTGCGCCCAATGTTTCCTACCGCGGCCTCCGTGTATTTTCACCAATGTTTGCAATCTAATGAACAAACGTGACGAGCTGTGCAATTTCGTTGCCTTTCGGCCGCCAGGTGCTCCAAAACGGACTGAGACCTGGTTGAATTCTTAGATAACTGTCCAATAGGTCCAGCTCAGTGGCTACTAGTGCCTCCGGTGCGAAAGAATGTCAAACGACCGCGGTAATGTGCTGCTATACATTTGGCCTAACTTGTTGAGGAGACTTACAAACATCTACGGAAGTAAAGATGGCCTATGCGAAGAGACGTGGTGAACTGTTCGTGAGTGCAGATTATGGCAGCCCGCGAAGTCGCTGTTTGGACCGGTTGTCGCATGCCCGAAACAACATGAGTCGTCCCTGCTTCTTGCTCATGGTTGATTTTAAATTACCATCGAATACTCTGGCATGAGTTTCAACTTCTCCCCGGGCATTTAAAAGTGGATACAGAGCTTGCTGAGTTGATATTTGAGACTGAGGCAGTACAACACATCGGCCACCCGACGCGCATTACGCCACATTTAGCTCTGTCGTCCTTGGACTTGAGGTTGACTGGCAGCGAGTTGACCACTCAGTGGTCATAACCAGCATAGAACTGCTGCTGATATAATTGCGTCCACAGGAGACATATTGCAACCACTGGAAAACTGACTTCGATGATCACACTCAAACTACTAGTCAAGTGGATCGCTGCCGCAGGACTTATCGGTTAAAACCCGTTGGTCTATAATAAAAGCGTAAAATCGTTGTGCGCTCGATTCGTACTCCTTAAATATCAAAAAGTTGGGCCAGCGAAGCCACATTGGTTCGACAAGCAGTGCGTTTAATCGGCTCGATGGTGATATGTACTATGGAATCAATTCTTCCGGTTTGTCTTTGCCGACTAGCACGAGGTGTGTGAGAAATGGCAAAATGCATGAAGCGGCGCGTAAGCACAGAAATGTTGGCAGTTCGAAGAGCAGGCTGAAACTGTAGCAAAGAGGACCTTTACTTACTTGGAACGGCGCATGAGATCTGGAGGTGACGGAGCAGTGCAAGATGATTCTGACGGCACTGAGCGTGCGTCCGTATTGGTGGCGTACCTCGCTTCCGCATTTACAAACGGCCGTGCATCTGTTCAGAGTTTGACTTGTGCAGCCCCAACCGAACTCCACATTTTGGGTTGCGGTGTGGAAGAAGTACGCAATCTACTTGCCAGCCTTGAGGGACCGAAGCCTGCCGGTCCTGACGGGCTCCACTCGCTGATACTCAAGACACTAGCAGACACCATCTCGCTTCCCGTTACTGATCTGTTCCACGGGTCGCTGTTCGAGGTTGCATTGCCGAGTAACTGGAAGCGATCGGCAGTGAAGTTGTTTCCGAAGGGCGGTGATCCAAGCAAAGCAGACAAATACCGGCTGATTTGCCTGACCTACGTATTCGCCAAGATTCTCGAGAAGGAGGGTCTGCTATAGTTGCTGGAATCGAAAGACCTCCTGACCCCCGATAACGCAAGGATTCATGAAAGGCCACCTATGCATTAGCGACTAGCAGTTGACGCGGCATGAGTGGTTGCAAGCGCTAAACCTGGGAAAGTAAGTCGACGTGAGCTACATTGATTTCAGTAACGTGTTCGAGAATGTAAATCATGCGGTCCACCTACACAGGCTGAGAATGGGCGGTGTTGCTGGCTCACTGTACCAGTGGGTCAGACATCCCTATTGGGCGAAAATGAAGGGCGCAGGTGGATGATAATCTGACTAGAGAGAGAAAAGGCGCCAGCAGTACGCCGGTACGCAGTACCAACACAGCTGCTGAGTAATCACCACAAGTCGCACGTGGACTAAGGGTACTGCGAGGGTCGCCCGGTTCCCAACGCAGGCTCTAACTCGCGCCTTTGGATTACAAAGCAGGCTTGTGATCCTTAAGGCCACGGGACGACTGATAATCTAACTGATCGCTATCCCTCCACCGGTGGGGTACCCCAAAGGCACAGTACTGGGGCACACTTAGTTGCCGGTCCATATCAACTTCTTCATTCACCATGTGCCCTCAAAATTTGGGGAGCAATTACATAATTAATAATAAACAAATAAATGGGTATACTTCCGAAGGGTATGATACATACATTTTTGTGCATGAGCATTAATACAGCGAGTTTATGTATTCACACAATCTGTAGTACAGATATTGTGCCATCGGAATCACGATTGAATCAGAAAAAAGTATGAATAGTAAGAAAATATTAACAACAAGAGCTTGTTTGTCTAGTTTGCTACTCACCTTTTTTAAATATTTTTCGGTTTGTTTGTTTTTTAGGGGGAGGAAGGAGTGGTACCGTGACACACTGATGCACACGTCTGCCACTGACATCGAGCTTGAGTTGTGGCTTCCAAGGTCTGTAAGAAGCAAGTATCTGCATCTATCGGAACCCAACCAGGTAGTCGACAACAACCGGCCGAGGCCAACTGTTTCGTCAGAGTATTCATGTGGCTTCTCCAAGTTGCAGGCTGTCCACCAGATCGTCTCTTCCAGCCCTGTTCAGCAACCGCAAACAACGCACGACGCGGGTAACGCTGAACACGCATGCGCAATACGTGTCCAAGCCACCGCAGTTGGTGCAGTGAGACGAGCTCCTCAAACATGTGGCTTCCTCCTCCCATGACACGCTGTCTAACTTCTACACTGCTTACGTGGTGACACCACCACACACGGGCAATGGACCGCAGACAGCGGTGCTCGAAGACGGATAGTCTGCGTAAGTCACCTTTACGAATGGGCTGTCTCGCAACCGTACAGCACGAACAGTTGCACAATAGACCCGCCCTTTGATGGAGAGACGAATATCGTGGCGACGCCACAAGCGCCTCAGTCTAGAAAAAGCGAGGCATGCCCTCGAGATGCGCATCGAAATCTCGTCTCCAACAGCTCCGCCAGCAGTGGTGCAACTGCCCAAGTGGACAAAGCTTTCCACAACCTCCAGTGTCTCACCACCAAGAGTGAGTGCAGGCAGAGGCACCTGCCAGTCTTGAAAGAGAGCCTTGCATTTGGAAGGAGAAAAGTACACACCATACTTTGATGCTTCAATCGCTAAGCGGTTTGGTGCAAGTTAAACGGCGTGTAGATCATCACCCAGCAAGCCGATATCATCAGCATAATCCAAATCAACAACTCGACTACCTGGAAGGAGCTCAACACTAGCGTTCAACAAATCGCCCAGAGCATTCTTTAGGACATCCTCAATGGCAAAGTTGTATAGGAACTGAGAGATAGGACATCCTAGTCGAACTCCACTGGAGACCA